TCCCCCCCCCCCGCCCCAAGTGCCCTAACCAGGGGGTTTGATCTCCAACCGATTCGCCGAGGCTTTCCCCCGCGATCCCCCCAAGGGGTGACTTAATAACTAAACAGGCTGTATACACGCCAGCCACTGCAGGGGGAGTTGTCTCTCTGGCACCCACACAGCCAGTATCAGGGTACCATCATACCCATGTGTCTGAGTTCGCACGGCATCGACGCCTGCACATTGACTCGCCCATACTTCATAAAACCCTGGGGAATCAGAGAGCCGTGACCACTCGCTCCTCACCTATCTCGTGCTACGATTCATTGGAATAAAAATCCAATTGAAAACACTTGACGCATCGCACGATCGCATTGTCTGCCGTTCAACGGTTCAGGACGGTTTCAACAATAGGAAGTCATTTAGGGGAGTCAAGTGGCGAGGGGGGAGGGAAACACATGTCAATGGGGTGTTTTATTGTTTTTTTTTTGGTAATGAGACTGTTTGTTTCAATTTTTGGAATCCGTGACAGACGAGAAATTCGTTGGAAATGGGTTTTATGGAGGAAGAGAAAGTTTCCACCGAAATATGATCGTTTTCGTTGTTGTAATTGGTCTCGTGAGACATTTATGTGTCTTTCGGGTGGGGCCGGTACTAATCGTCCAATTTTCATTGGTCCAATATCTTCTGGTCCAATGCCATTTCGTTCAATAACACTATTCGTCCAATTTTTTTTGTCCATTCTTCGTTTGGTTCAATTTTGTTTTGGTCTAATAATTTGGTCGTCCAATTCCGGGGAAAAATGAAAAAACATGTAATGCGTGCACAAAATTTAATCAATATATCAACTCAGGCTTTACTGTTGTGGCACGATCAATGGAAGTACAAGACATTAACAATTGACATGAAAAAAACTCGACGTCTGTGAACACAATTAAATTTAAACATGAACCCACTGATAGTAGAATATATTAATAATTAACATAAAAACTGCTCTCATGAGACAGTTACGGAACAACAATTGAGGAAATTCATGTAAATAATTTATGAAAATTATGATAGTGGTAATTAAAATATCATTATCCAATCATTTGGGTTTGTTGTTCATAATTTTATGTTGTGAGCCAATCCGCGCAGCCAGTCAAGAATGGGTATTTGTGTTCTTTGTTTACTATTTTCGTACATGTCTTGAGAATATTCATGTACATTGATTGTTAGAATGTAGTAGTTTCTATTTTTCTTTTTTTTATTATTGGACGTTCATTGTGGTGGACTGTGATTTTGGATGAAAATCCATTGGACGAAAAGGTATTAGACGAATGGTTTTTGGACCAAAAGTACCAAACCCGAACATTATGTTCGAAGTGCGAATGATATGACGTTGATGCTATAGTGGAGCATTTTTGCAGTAAAAATTCTTATTGAAATTTTTGCCAAAAAGATGTGTGTATCTGACCACAATAGGAATGCAATCGAATGAGTTGTCAACAGTTTTCAACTCGTTTATCATTTCACGGATTTGTTTGAGGACTTTGAAAATACTGAGTTTATCTAAATCTGAGATAATAGATTCTGCCAGAGATCATGTCTCTGGTTTCTCTTATCTGTTTATCGTAGGTCCTCGGAGTGGTCATGGATAATGTGTGGGGGATGTTATTCGTAACAGCTGGGTACTGTTGTACAAAGTTCCGAAACAAAAAATCGAAATAAAACATTTCGATTGCTGGAACTTTGAAAGTGATGGGGCTGAATGGGTCGTCATATTAAGTTTTTCGGCTAAAATTTCCCTGGCTCTCTGATGGTGGTTATCTGTTTTTGATAATCTATTGACTCTCACCTCTCCACCAATCAGAACGTGGCGCATATTGACAGCTTGAGGATTGCCGGTGCTCCTGATGTACTTGAGCCAATTGCTAGCTTCGCGAGAGGCGTCTAACCATCCTCGGACTCCACTACCCGAGTGTCGAACCTGGAATCAACAAAAAAAACCATATAAATGGATGACGAAAGGATGTAAATGGATGATTAACACATGTTTTTAATGAGGAAACTAGTGAAATGAATCGTTTTGACTACGAGCAGCTCAAAACGTGAGAAATTCTTCGATTTTTTAATTTCATTCATTTTATAAAAAATGACGTTACCATTTAAATTATCGAGTGAAAAAAGATTTAATCCTGAAACAGAAGGGATTAATCAATTTTCATGTGAAGAAAAGACTTCCAATGGTTTTGCTTTTGAATATTTAGCTCCGGAACATTGAGTTTAATGGTTTAATGCTCTCAAATTTTCACTTCTCACCCTTCAAAAACGTATCACGAGTGATGACGTTTGAGGGCCATCAAGTAAATCGTCGTCGTGTGCCGAAGAACGAACAACTGATGCTTTTAAGTCTCGAGACAAGTGATTTTTAACAATTGTCTTGGGCTACCGCACCGCCTTGCTTGACGCTTGGCCGACCATGCGAGCAGCAAAAGCAGGAGTCATTTCGCTCAAACCCCCAACACGATAGTTCCACTCACGGTGGGATCCACACCCCAGAAACTCACGGGGGAGCGGAATGATCGTTGAGTTTTATCGTTAGTGAACGCTTCACCCCAACCCTGGGTCGAGACGCAGACACTTGTCACTGCCATTTGGACCAATTGTCACTATTTTAGGCGTGCGAATCGCTCGATTCATTAGGTAATGTGTTGACTATTGATGGTGCAGCTCATTTTTGGGGGTTTGGAGTGGTTTTGAGGGGAATTTTTGGGGGGATGAAGATTTAGACATGAGAATTTTCAAGTTTTTTAGGTTTTCGAGGGGTAGCAAGAGATAGTTGAGCCTAAAAACTCAATGTAATGAACTATTTCGCCTCAATTGTTTGGAAAATATAGAGAAAGCCTCATTTGAAACATTATTTGACGAGAAAATTTTCCGATCAATCCAAAACAAGTGGAAAATTGCATTTTTTAAATAAATGAGTGGAGTTATTGTTGCTAATAAATTAGCAATTTGCTTCTGAATGGGTTCTTTTTTGTAAATTCTTATTTCACTATTCTCTTCTGTGATTTTTTCATGTCATAGTACTATCATCAATTGAAATGTCATCAAAATTTTGCGTATTATTTCGTTCTGTCAAATAATTCTACATTCAGACCCTCTCAAGTTTCGAATTCGTTTTCAGTCCGGGTTTAATCAAGGTTCAATCAAGGTTTAATCAGTGTATAGCCGGGATTTAATCAGGGTTTATTCAGGATTTAGCCAGAGTTTAACCCAGGTTCTGTCAGAAGTTAGTCGGGAGCATGAATCAATATGAATAAGTATTCAACATAATAGACTGCTACTTGAATTTAATAGAGATAGAGATTTTTATATAAAAAGCTCATGACGGTATTGTGTAACTTGATAAGCAATGATGCTGTTCTCACCATTTTTCAACTTGATTGAGAAGCCATTGAAATATACTTTTCAAGCCCTGATTTAATTGCTATTACTGATGATTCTTTCAGTAATCATGAAAAAATCGATTTCCTCTTTCAAATCGCACAAACAATGTGCTGTAACTCAACAACCAATTGTGCGACCCCCATTATATTCTGATAGAATCAAGAGGATATTATTATCTACTTTTTGAGCCATGACTAATTCCGCTTTGATGACAATTTTTTGAGTGATCGTTGGAAAATCGATTTTTGGAAAAATGGGAATTTTTTTGAAGCTGCATAAAAAATTGAATTTTAATTGGTGTCAGTGACTAGAGCTTATTACCAAAAATTTAGTTAACCAAATACAAAAAATTGGAAATTGAAAGTTTCCGATTAGAAAGTTTCCATTCGGAAGGAAAACTTGATATTTTTCGTTGATTGAGAAAAATAGTTAATTATCATCTTAATTAATAAATTGAAAAATGATTCAATTATCGTTTCAAGTGTTTATTGGAGATGATGACGAGGTTTGAGATTTGATGATATATTTCTTTGATTTTACACCCTTTTTGCATTTTCAAGGGAAAACTTCGATTTTTTTCAACCGCGTAAAAATTGAAAATTGTCAATTCCATTTTTATTATTACTTCAATGGATAGCCGGGGACATTTGAGGCGGAAAACTCAATATGACGACCTATTTCGCCCCAAATTTTGCAAGATATAACCAAAACAAAATTTCAGAATTGGAATAAAAAATCGGTACATCTCGAAAACTACTGTATCAGAAAGGATTTATATCCAGGGTTTGCAAGAAATTAATAACAAAAGTAATTTTACCAACATTTCTAAAAAATCGTTAATTATCAAGTCAATTCACAGTCAATTGCAGTCAATTCACAGTTATTATTTATTAAGTCTGAAGTCTTCATAAATAACCAAGAACCAATTAAAAAATTGATGAATGACATGATGTCTTCATTGGATTTGATAACAGCGTCTGGATCGCGATAACACGTCCCACCTGTCGGAGACACTCGAAACTACCCCCAATCAATAACCCAGTGCTCACAGGTGAGTGGATAAGTTAGGTAATTGATCTCGCTCCTTACTCGTTGAGCCTAAATTTGTTGTTACAACCGAGCTCACTCAGCCTCATCAGTCTGATCCTCGGGGACCCGGGATTATCCCGGGGCCTTCTCTCAACCGTGTGCACACCCGGTCTAGTGGACCATTCTGGGCGAAAACATCGGATGAGCTGATGGGTATTATTTACACTTCGACACTTTCCGGGGATTTATTTTTACTACTGTATTATACCCATTTTATTTTCACTGCCATTCATGAGACATTTTGATTTTTCGTTTTGGAAAATCGGAATTTTTCATTATATTTTGTCATTTTTATTCGACAATTCATGTCAAATTATGTGTAAATTCAATGGCAAGCTTTCCAAATAGCTTTTTTATAGGAAAAATCACCGGAAAATTATGGAATGACAATGTTTTTTTTTTTGATAATTTGAAATTATGAATTCAAAATTTTTTTATTGATAATTTTTGTAGAATAAACTGAATGAAAGAATGGGAGAATTAACCACGTAAAGAACTAACCGTCATTTTTTTTTAATAAAAAATGATTGAAGAATTATAAATTTAAGAAGTTCATACCTATAAAGTTTTATTTTTCATTGCGAAACACAGGAATTTTTAATTATATTTTTTATTCGATAATTCATGTCAAATTATGTGTAAATTAAATGTAAAGCTTCGTCAATTGTTTATTATGGGACAAATCGTTGGAAAATAATGAATTCAAAATGTCTAAGTGACTCAAAATTCCAAGTGCAGAAACTTTTTTATCAAGACGATTTATGAATAATTTTTGAATAATTAAATTAGACGAGTTTAGAATAAAATTAGACGATTTTAAAATAATTTTTATAAAACAAACGCTACGACAAAGTCAACGAATTTCTCACGTATTGAGCTTCTTGTCGCCCAACCGATCTATTTCAATAATTTTCCAATTAAAAAAACGAGTGGAAATCCATTTGGTGAAATTCTCACATCTAAACGCCCGAAACTCATCCGAAAACCCCCGAAAACACTAAAAAAAACATTAATCACGTTAATTTCCAGTCGACAACGGCCGAGACGTGACAAAAAAACTGGAAGCCCCCGATTATAAATAAAGATCCTCACGGAGACAAATCTGTCCACCGAATTGTCCGCGCATGTTCGCAACCGCCGACAAAGCCCCTTCGAAAAAAAAAAGAAAAAAAATGGATGAGGAAATAAAAACGAGGAGAATCGCCTGCTGCGAGAGAACTTGTGCATCTCTCGGTCACTTGCGGGCATCAGGGTCTCGCACCAGTGGGCGCCGAGTTAACGCATCATTGTCAAAAGGTGTGACAGACCCGTGGATCCTAATCTGTCGTGTTACCCCCATTGAGTGGTCCATTGTCACTCGTCGTTCGTGCCCATCTCGCTAAAATGCATCTTAAGTCCCTCAACTTCACCCCCGTTGTGATACCGTGAAAATACTCGTGTCTCGGTATACTTTTGTCACTGTTTCTGGGTTACATCTATCGCCAAGCGTGATCGGTAACATCTCTTTGTGGTTTTTGATGACCAGATAAATATTTCTGTTTTGGGGAAGGGAAAGTTACGGCAAAATAATAGGAAAATGGGGAAAAGTGAAAATGGAGTTTCTTGTTTTGATTTTTAGAAAATGCTAGGGGGCTTCGCCCCCTGCTCTCAGAGCTCGCAAACCCCCTACGGTTGGTGCGACCGATTGGTTTATTTCAATGAAATATCAATATATTGCTATAATTTATGCATTTCTATTGAATTTTTTCGAAAATCTTTTCTAAAGCGCGCTCACTCGTAATGAGGGAAATTTTCATATTCTATTTTACTAAAGATGATAGAAACGTGAAGTTGTTTTATACCGAAATATCTCAAAACTGCCTGACCGCTAATCCTCAATTCTGATTGGTCAATATGTGACACGAAGTTACTCACAAAAAAAAAACACGCGGCATTTTCAAATTCTTCAGTGACATAATTTCAAATTCTTCAGTGGCAATTTTTTTTTCACGTTATATATATATCACATGTATATATATATCATCGGTGAAATTAATAAATTCTGTCCTTTTATGGAGACTGATTATTTTAAAAAATTGAAGATAGTTAATTGAAAATGAAAAATTCATTATAGATTCTTTTACTCTACTTCGCTACTCGCTTCAATCATTAGTCGAATTCTCTTTGATTCATTATCAATATTTATAAGGTATTCATGAGAAAATGAAATTCAATGAATTCCATTTCTTCATTTCAACAAATGAATAGATCAGCGCGCGCATAGATTTTGTCTTCCAAAAAAATAATAAACTAATGAAAAAAAGGCTAGAGGGTAATAAATCAAATCTTGCTCGAAAATACGTACAAGTTCCAGAGTTTTTCTAGATTTCATAAGAAAGTTATTTGAAAACATGACACGAGAAATTATGAGTTTCGGGGCAAATTCTATCCATTGAGGCTCACGCGTGG